AAATTTATTTCTTAATAACAACAAAAAATAACAAAATCCAGCAATACATAGAGAGAGAAAGAGAGAAGAGTGAACGAGCAAAAAATCCAAATAATAGAAATAAGAGTACACATAATCGATCTTCTTGACTTTAAGTCAACAACTTCAACAAGAAATAGTTGCACTGAGAACTTGAAAAAACATAAAGAACTAGATATAGAGAACAAAAAAGATACAATAATAGAAAGACTTTTTATTGTAATTAAAGGGCATAACAGTTGTTACAGATGGATCACACCTATTGACTTAACAGATATTTGTAAGCATGAGTTTTCGCAACGAATAGCTTGTTTTTTATATAGTATCAGTCTTTCGATCTGGTTATGAATGCAATAGAGAACTTAGTTACGAAAGCCCTGTCAAAATTCGTTACAAAAGTCCTGAAAATTTCTCGTTACGAGTTGATACCCCCCCCCCCCCTCCTATACTAGATTTTGGTTCCAGTCCCGGTCTTTGAGACGGGAATTAACATCGAATTCATACATTTCTACTTCTACATCTAACCAAAACCAACTACGCTCTATACTTCTTATATCTTCACAATATTTATTTTTTCAGTTTAACCAAATAAAATCTATGGTATTCTTTTGTGCAATGATACATTTGACAATCTATAAATAGATTTCTAATATCTGTTTGATATACTATATCTTATTCAAACATAATATTATGTATTATGAAAATCAAGCTACATGATAAACATTGTGATAAAAGAAAAAAAAATGACCTGACGAACAGACCATTCATGAATAATGGAATATGTTGGATGGAATAGAAAATGCATCAGCCATTCATCGTAGTCGAATATTATGACAAGAATGGTTTTTTTTTTCATTGGTCTTACAGACGGAAATGAGCAAAGTGTAGAGATATATAAAATGAAATGAATAAACAGTATGTCATTGTTAAAATGAATAAATCGAATATCAATAATCTTAATATACTCGATTTACCCGATGAAATATTACTCATCATTTTCAATAAACTGAAAACGGTTGATGCTCTCTATTTGCTTGTGGACGTTAATGAACGATTTCATCGATTAGTATTTAATTCACTTCATATTCGCAATATTGATACGACCAATATGGTCATAATATCATATTATGATCGTAGATTTTCAATAGAAAATAATATTCTTTCGAAAATATGTGAAAAAATCTTACCTCGAATTCATCATCAATTAACTGAACTTATTGTTGAACAAAATTCAATGAAATCTATTCTTCTTACTGGTAATTATCCTCAACTTGACTCATTATCACTTGTTAATTTTCAAAAAGAAATACTTTTTCAATATTTAACAGGTAGATTATTTGTATTAAATAATAAAATGAAACACAAAATTCATTGTATTTATTTTTTGAAATTCTCAGGTAATTCAATTCTTCATCATCTTCTTACTCAACAAATTCAACATCTTAATATTGATATTTCGTATGATCCAACATTAAAATCATCTAAAATTCTATCATGTATATTTGCATTTATTTTATCTACATGTAAACAACTGATCAATTTGAATTTTTGTCAATTGTTTTATGATCGAAAGAGTTCAATTTGTATTTATAAATTCCCATTAACAAGTTGTATATCTTCGACTTTAATTAAATTAAAAGTTAATGTTGCAACTTTTGATGATTGTCTTTATCTTCTTGATGGACGTCTCAAACATTTATCAACATTGATTATTAATGTGAAAAGAATATCATTCAGTCTCTCAGATAATAAGGTAAATATAATTTCAACAATTCTTGTATTTTTAAGAAGAGAAACATTCTTAATTATATTTTCATTATAGAAAAAACTTCCCGAATTAAAATGTTTCTCATTGAATTCAATGGAGGACACGCTTTATTATGATGACCAAATTATTCCATTACTTCATCGAATGATAAATCTTAAAGAATTGACATTATTCTTATCAGTATTAACAACATCCTGGACTTATATTGATGGTATTCAATTACATGATCAAATTCTTATTTATATGCCACAATTGAACAAATTTACATTCAGTATAATCACAACTGGTGTTAACGACGGCAAAAACATTAAAATTGATCTTCCGTCGAACAAAGATATTCAACGTAGCTTCATTGGAAAAGGATATGGACAAGTTGGTTCATTTGTCTATAATAGAAAAAAATACATTGTAGGCACATCGCATGTCTATTCACTTCCATATCAATTTGAATATTTTTTTCGTCTTAACAACTCTTTTCAAGGTGATATATTTGATACAGTTCAATGCATAACAATGATTGATGGACGTCCTTTTGAATATAATTTATTCAAACGTATCTCTCAATGTTTTCCTCTTTTGAAAGAATTAAGTGTTATTAATTATGCACCACAAAAAACTAAGCAACATTCATCTATATTGATTATATTTCCTCATCTTATTCTTCTCAATCTGGTTAAAGCACATGTGGATTATGCTGAACAATTTCTCTATGATAAAAATACTCATCTTCCTGCTTTATTAGATCTATACATCGAATACAAATCACTCGTAATGATAACAAACAATTTTACCAATGATACAATATGTCGCAATTGTGCTAAAATAAAAAAACTTCATACAAATTCGTTTTGTCGGACACAAAATTTTCATCATTATTTTCCTTTATTATAAATATTTGTTTTGTTAAGAATTGTTTCAATAAAAGGAAAAAAATAGTTTATTAAAGTGAAATATACATGAATCAGATAAAATGAAACTATAATATAATAAATAGATACTTTTTTTTCTCATATATATATTAAGTAGTATTTCAACAAAATAGCTGTACTGTTTGGGATCCGGACAGTTGCGCACGAACAGTTGCTCGCTGGACATTTGCTCGCTAGGACAGTTGCTCGCTAGGACAGTTGCTCGCCGGACACTTGCTCGCTAGGACACATGCTCGCAGGACAATTGGTTGCTGGATAGTTGCTCGCGAATCATGCGTCTACTTAATGACATTAAGTAGCAGCGTCCTCCATCGGTTGTTTTAAAATCTGATAAGTTTGCCACCATGCACATCAACTTCAGTGACTATCTGTCATAGCTGGTTCGATTTGGCATATGTTTTGGTCCCACAGTGTGTGATACACGCTCTGAATTGATAGCACAGAGGAGTCGCCCATACTATCCTACCTACAGGAGAATTTGTCGAATTTCGATATCGGACGCCAGGAGGGACTCTAATTAAGAGCGGGGTAGATGAGTGAAGAAAGGTAAAGAGAAGACTTTCACTCACTTACCCTCATCTTTATCTTTATAGCAGGTCGTGAACCATCAAAGCGAATAAAATGAGTTTTTGAGCAAACGGCTTTATGATCTGGCGCAAAATTCACGTACAGACTTCAAGGATTAATTAAAATACATCAGGCATTTCTTGCTCATATAAAAATTTTTCAGTTCTTGCCTATTTTTTATTTTCCACTGCTCTTCTTGAAGATTATTTCTGTGACTTATTCATACATCCACATCGAAATAGTTTTGCGAGCAAGTATCCGGCGAGCAATTGTCCCAGCGAGCAAGTGTCCGGCGAGCAACTGTCCTAAACCCGTTTTCATACAGCGTTCTCAACTTTAAATAACAAAATATATTCTGTTATTAACGAAAAAAAATTATTTATTTTGTTATAAAACAAATCATTTTATTTATCCAAAAGCGGTGTTAAGTTATTCTTTAATTTTTCTTCGTCTTTGAGATAATGAAACTTTTTTTTTATTTGTTATTTATAAATATAAGAAATGCGTTTATTTTAATTTTATGAATAAATCTTATTGATATTCATATACAAAATGATAATAATCAAGATCATTTTTCTTAGAACTATAATTCAAAAGTTGTTAGTATTTCGGTTTATGAACATGTAACTAATTTCGAGCTGTATATAGCTCAGAGTTACTTGTGCTCGACATGTAATCAATGGTCGCGTGTTCAAATCTTGGTTCGAACTATCGTTGGAAAAATTCCACTCTGTTGCTCACGGTATTAGAGTATTATATTATAGTTCGCTATGATGCGTCGGTTCGAATCCGAGGGTGTGGGTGTGGATGTGGATGTGGGTGTATATGAAGAAAATCATACTCACACCCACACCCACACTCCACACCCCACCCACACCCGCTCACACCCACACCCTTCTACATGAACGACAAATTCCTTTTTTCTTATTTTATCTTCTTATCGGCTAATATTCTTTTTAAAAAAAAATAAAATATACAAGCACGAGATACAGTGTGAAAAGCTCTACAATTTATAAAATGAAGTTTATTTCAATTGTGTATATTTTGTTTTCAAAATAAGGCAAAATCCTATGCGATCAATTTTCACCATTATGAAAAACTGATTTTTTTTCTACGCGAACGAGAATTCCTTTTCTTATTTCGCCTTTTTTATCATCTGATATATTTTTGTAACAAGAAACAAAGTTTAACGAAAGATGCAGCTTGAAAAGCTCTACAATTTACAAAGAACAGTTTATTTTAATTGTGTACGTTTTGTTTTCAAAAATAGGCAAAATTCTGTACGACCGATTTTCATCGTTTCGAAAAGATCATTTTTTTCTACGCAAACGAGGTATTTCTTTTTTTCTTATTTCATCCTTTTATTACCTAATATGTTTTTTTTTCACAAAAACAAAATATACAAGCACAAGATGCGGTTTGAAAAACTCTACAATCTACAAAATAAAGCTTACTGTAATTGTATACTTTTTGTTCTCAAAACAAGGCAAAATTCCGTGCGATCAGCTTTCGCAAAGGTGAAAATTGATCACACGAAGTTTTGCTTTTTTCGAAAACAAAAAGTTCACTGTTAAAATAAGCTTTACTTTATAGATTGTAGAGCTTTTTCCGTGCTTCATCTTGTGCTTGTGTATTTTATTTTTTTAATACAACGTATTTAGAGGTTAAAATATGGCATGCAAAGTTCTCCCATTTATTATGGGTCACCCGTTAGATGTTTATCTTACAGTTTCTACTTGTTCAATCCATTTACGTAAATCTGAAAAAAATGCATCGTCGATCATATCAATGATGTCTGTAAACAAGAAAAATAAATTGATTTTTTTAAAACAAAGATTCGTTTTACCTGATGTAAGAGTTTGAATCGTATGATTAGTTTCAATAAGAAATTGTTTTTCTTCTAATGCACGAATAGCATCATCAAACATATTACGTGTTATACTTTCCTTAATTTGTTTACAAAAGGGTGGGTGTGGGGTGTGGGTAGGTGTGGATGTTGATGTGGATGTGTGGGTGTGTGGGGTGTGGGTGTGGGTATTTCCATCATTCACACCCACACCCACCCCGTACCCACACCCCATAATAAATTAGGATTACTTATTATACCTTGTACAATAAGACTATTGAATATTTCATGAACTTGAGCTGGATCACTTATTATACCTTGTACAACAAGACTATTAATTATTCGATGAAGTTGAGCTAGTGGATCATTCATTATCTAATAAATGTAAGAGATAAATTTATTTAGGCTTTTGTTTTAGTATTTATTATTTACCGTATTAATATTTACTTCATCATCTTCTTCATAATCTTCTTCTTCATTATGTCCATCATCATCATTATTTAAGTATGATAATTTTTCATCCAAAATTGTATCAACACGAGTTAGGTAATTTTCCAAACCACATTTAATTTGCTTTAACGTATATTTTAATGCTTCAATATCTTCATCTTCGGGTTCTTTATGTGTTACGATTTCAATATTTTCTTCGATTTCATCAATCAATTCATAGATGTGGTCTATTAATGCAGATATTTCATCCTAAACAATTATATTTAAATAAATAAATTTATAGATATTTATCTTACGCGTGTTTGTTCAATATCACGTTGTTACAGTTCGCGCTCACGAAGAGCGACGAACACAGTTACGATGTGTTTTCTTCTCTCTCTGTTTATTCTTTGAGAAAACAAATGTTTATATACGCACATGAAAAACAAAGACAAAAGTAGAAAAGAATAGAAAGGTTAATCAAGGTCAAAGAAAAACAATAGAAACGACATAATAGAAACGAAAATATCAAAGAAAAAGAATAGGATCGAGGTGTATGCTGCAAGAATACACTGTAACACACGTTTTATAAGTTCATTAATTCGTTTATCAATTTCATTAAATAATGTATGTATTTTAATTAATCCTTTCTTCTCTGTTAATTTACGTTTTTTAAGATAATGTTTAACTATTTGTGCAAGATCAGCAAGAAGACGACGTTCACCAGCATTAATTAATGCTTTACAATAAAGTCTGAAATATAAATAGACTTTGATGAGAAAATATTCTTTATCTAATTTTTTACCGTTTAGCTTCTTTAACATCAAATTCTTCAACTTTATCTGAAAGACGAACTTTTGCATGTGCTTCAGCCAAACGAATTAATGATTCAAGTTGTCTTGGACATGCTGATATTTGTTCTTTACTATTACCAACTTTTCGTATTTCAACATATCTAAATAGAAATAATTCAATTTATATTAATCGGTTTGTTTTTTGTTTTGTTTTGATTACTTACGAACTAACAAGAAGTTTGCCTGCTAATTCAGTTAATTGTGGATTAACAAATGTACGTGCATGAGATATATAATCTCGAAGTAAATCAATATCCTATAAAAAAAAATCAATGATATTCTTTTTTTGAGAAAGAGTAGATTTTACCATAGCTTCATGAGCATTTTCATTTCCTTTTTCATATTGATACCACGAAGCTAAATGTTGTGCTAATCGTCTATCATATATTTCATTTTGTGGATCAAGTAAAAGAAAAATTAAATCAAAACGTGATAATAATGTTGGTGATAATTGAATATTTTCAATAATTGTTTTAGATTTATTCCATTGTGAATCAATTGGATTAGCTGCAGCTAATATTGATGTACGAGTATTTAATTTACATATAATACCAATTTTAGATATTGATAATGTTTGCTGTTCCTAAATAAATTTCATACTTTTTTTTTGATTTATTTAAATAAATATATTTAATATACCATGCTTCATAAAGAATTGATCGAGCACTTTTATTCGTTTTATCAAATTGATCAATACAACAAATACTATTATCAGCAAGAACTAATGCACCTCTAAAATAAATAGAAATTCTCAAGTAAAGAAAAAAGAATTTATTTAGCCTTACGTTTGAAGAACAAGTTGACCAGTTTCAGGATCTTTTGTTACATATGCAGTAAGACCACCAGCACTTGTAGCATTTCCATTAGTATATTGTGCGGGTGTGGGTGTGAGTGGAGTGTGGGTGTGGGTCAGAGATGTCCATCGCGCCGCCGCCGCGCCGCTGCCGCTGCCGCGCCGCGGCCGCGGTTGGCGGCGCGGCAGCGGCAGGTTTCTCAAAAATTCATCGCGGCAGTGACGCGGCAGCGGCAGGTTTCTCAAAAACTCATCGCGGCAGTGACGCGGCAGCGGCAAAGTTTTTAAAAATTCATCGCGGCAGTGGGGCGACAGCGACAGAATTTTTTTCGAGGACATTGGAAAACTGCATGAATTTGATAGAATTTCATTGTTTACAAAGGAAACACTCTGAGACTGAATGAATCTGAGGAACTAGTACCAATATTTCTGGTCCCATATAGTTGCTGTAGTGAAATTCGAAACACTTTTTTGAAAACCATCGCGGCAGCGGCGCGGCAGCGGTGCGGCAGTGGCAAGTTTATTACTCGTCGCGGCGCGGTAGCGCCGCGGCGACATTTTTTTATAGACCATCGCGGCGCGGCAGCGCCGCGACGACTTTTTTTATAAACCGTCGCGGCGCGGCAGCGGCAGATTTTCAGCCGCGATGGACATCTCTGGTGTGGGTGTGGGTGTGGATGTTTAGTCTTTCTTAACCCACATCCGCACCCATCTATACCCACACCCACACCCACAATAACACGTAAAGCTTTCATGATAAAGACACAATGTATACATAGTTGTCAATAATGTATTTACAAATTATCCTATCACTATTAATAGAGACAAAAAAATCTTCTAATTATTAAATTAATTGTTTGTTAATATTACAAAATATGTGATGAAAATTACAAAATATTGATTTTTTCAGGTGAAATTCGAGTAGGAAAACTAATTTTTTTAAATATATAAAGTTATTCGATATAATATGAAAAATTTTAAATATTTGAAGAAAATTGATCTTGTCACTTGAAAACAAAAATTGATATTTGCTTCGAAAATAATGTTTCGAAATACAATTCCACAGAAAAAAAATTTTTTATTGTTATTACATATTTTGTATGAAATATATCTTACATAATTTTTACATTATGTTGTTCGATAAAAATTTCATTGTAATGAACAGTCATAGATATTATAAATCATTAATTGAAAAATCTTTTTTTCAAATAGAAATTCGATTGAAATTTTTTCTATCGTTTATTTAATATATTCAGTTTTACGGTTCATTACAGAAAACCGACACAAAAAAATTGGAAGAATACAAGAAACGAAAAAAAAAGAGTTGATTATCAATGGTTGAAACGAGATTGAATTAAATCTTCGAAATTTCTTTGTGATAAACTTTGATATTACTGATTTCCATATATCTAAATCATCAATATCAAAACTTATAATTGATATTTCAAAGTTGTTTAATGGTATCATATCAAAAGATTAACAGCCATCGGAAAAGCTTTTTTGCCTGTATATTTAATCTATTTATTATTAAATATCAACATGAAATATGGTCTATATCATATGTTAATCACTAAAATTAATTAAGGTGCATAAGGCTGTACTTCTAGCAACACATTTAACTAATAGAAAGTACCAGTATCAACATTTTTTTCATGCGATTTCTTTCAAGATTCGCTTAATAATATTACCATAAAGGACTTAAGAAACTATTCGTATATTTCAAAATTCAAAGATATTTTATGAATATTAAAAGTAGATACCTTTTTTATTGACATCCCTGTATGGTTAAACTCTAAAAGTAAAGTTTTTAATTGAGAAGATTAAGTTGAAAAACGATAACAGATAGAAACAAGAAAGAAATCATAAGTTAGTCTAGATTTTATTTAATATAAAAAAAAACACTTAGATTAATAGATTGTTCGTACTTGAAACTTTAAACCATTACAACACAATTTGCTTTAGACGTTTTTTCTAAAAAGTTAAAATTTGTCCTGAGCACAACTGGCAAGAAAAAAACAAAACTTTTTATTATGATCATCATATTGATAAGATAATTAATTAACTATTATATATATTTTATTTGTGAAAGTGTGACATGATGAAATTGCAAACTGGTATTTATTTATGAATGACGTACTTTTAGAATTTTAGAATATCATCAAGGATAATGACAAACAGAAATTTGATGCTTATTATTTTGCCTGTATTTTTGTCATCATATTTACCTTCATGTGTATATTTGTTGTAAGTGAAAAAAGAAAAGAAAGCTAATCCAAGCAAAACATTAGATGAAAAACAATTCCTTTCGGTATTATTTTAATGGCTATTTTTACGTTGTTTTTATACAAATTGTCAATATTTTATGAATAAGTATTCATAGTACCATCTTGATCTTATTATAAATAAAAGATTTTTCTATAGAAAGTTATTCATCATTATCATCTTAATCTTCTTCAAAATCTTAAATTCTATCCTTTGTGTTGTCTAGTAGGATGATCATATTATATCAAAAGTCTTATTTTTACTGAAAAGATATATATATACTACGATATAATAATACTGTTTACCTGTACACATGTATTGAATATATTGGATGAGAAAGTGTACATGAAGAATCAAATATAAGTACTAGGTAAAGCTATTCGTAATACTTTAAAATAAAGTCGTATATAAATACTTACCTATCTCGGTAGTATAGGTATGGAAGAATGTGATATGTTTATCAAATAATTATTAAAGTGGTTTCTTTTTCAGGGATTAATAATGTCGGAGATGACTACCTTTCAAAAACCAACGGTAAAGTGTACGCTTCCTTTTTTATTAAAATCTTCAGTCAATAAAAAAGCAATGATGATGGTGTTATATTTTTCTATACTAAGTTTCAAGATATCCCTGGAAGTTCTCATATGCTAATAAGACTCTATATGAGATCATTAGACAATGCCATTAAAAAGTTGGACAAATTCATCATGCTTTAACATCAATTATGTTAAACTTAATAAAATTTAGAGAAGATTTATTTAATAAAAACAGTTGAAAGTTATACAAAAAAAAA